CTCCTCCATTTTCACCGATTGTAAGTTACTTTCCACCGATTATCCCTCTTTTCCTCCGTTCATTTCCTTGTTCCATCGATTAAATCAGTCAAGATAGAGTTCTTCGTCCTCATAGTGTTTCTCACCGAACAAACCATCTTCATCCTCCATACCTTCAACTTCCACCGATTAAACCCTAGATTCTAGGGTTTCGTTGTGTTAACTCACGGTTTCCTTAGATATCATTCGAGTCATTCTTAGATTTAGAGTTCCTCAACATTCAGCTGCATCCTTCTTCGTCGGAGAAGCTTCGAGGAGTCCGAATCGAGCTCTCAAAGCTTCTATCGTCATCTTCTCGGGCGTTCGTCCATCAAATCCTCTATGATATAGGACGTTGGTTAGCATCACATTCAATATTCGACATCATACTAAGATTTAAACTATCTTCAAGTTGTTCCCACCCTAAGATATCAGTTAGATCTAAAATCTAATGGTAGGAAACAACTTGAAAACAATTTAAAAAATGAATCATACATTACTAATGATGAAGTTGAACAACTTTTTTATAGATTGGACTCCTTTGAGTAATAACTACACTCCTATGTTTGTTTGCAAGCATACATCATCAACACCAACAATCTTTGAAACACCATTATTCCCATCTTCAACACTCAAAAGTCACTAGAAGTATAAGATGTGAAGAACTCCTTCCTTGCTGTAATGTGTAATGTTGTAACACTATCATTTATTCACATACTCTCATCAAATACAAGATTAACTTACTCAAAGCACAAAAAGAACAAAATTCTCACATGTAATAGTAGTAGTAACGTGACCATCATCATCATGATCATTCTCTTTCTGCTCGTATTTTTTTTCTTTATTCTCTTTTTTTTTCTTAAAATTGTATTTTATAATGTGCCCAGTTTTATTACAATAATGTCACTCTCCACATTTTTGTATATTGACATGGACTTGGTCATACTCTTCTCTCTACCACTCCTTGGTTCCTTTCTCTTATTTCTCCCTTATTTTATATGACAAACACCTAAAACTGAGATGAGGAACCACGTGTCTTCCTTGTCATCTCTTTATTAAGAGCATCACTTTTTGCCACTGGAAAAGAAACAATGTTATTACGAGCCAAATTTTTGTAATGAAAACCTAATATCTCGCAAGACTTTGGTAGAATATTTAATAACCATAGTCCCAAAACTTCATCGTCAAAATTGATATACATTCCTAATAGTTGATCTAAAAACTTTTAAAGTTGATTTAAATGATCTGGAAAAATTATAAAATTCATCCAGCAGTTCAACAAATATAATATTTTATTGTCTTACTTAAAAAACATACAAAAACTATATTAGGATTTTGGAACACCGAGTTATAAAGCATATAAAATATCGTCTGGCAAACTTGCCTAGTTCAGAATGCAATTCCTTCTATGCCTAATTACATGATGACAATTGGTTTTGTTTTTTTTGCAACTTATTGTTATGTAATTCTCGTAAATCCAATCCGAAATTATGAAAATTAATCAATGAACTGGGTGATCTTTCCCTGAGTGCACAGTTGTTATTCAATCACGTATGTATGGATTGTATTTGGTTTCCAAACCTTATGTATTTTGTGTGCAAATAGTACACATGAGAACATAATATGTTGAATTGTGTTTCAGAACATTTTGATATGATTCTTTAAGTTAAAAGGCATAAAACTGTATGAAGAGTTTTTTTTTTTTTTTTTAAAAAAGAAAAAAAAGGGAATCGTGGGTGTAACCTTTAGGCCTATCTTGGACGGTGGTTTTACATGATTTTTAAAGGTGTGCATGTGCAAAGCCAGAAATGATTTTCCAACAGAAACCTAAGACTTACCTGTGTTTTTACTAAAGAAATAGAAGAAGTACGTCAGCATTTCTTCATAGATATTGCAAAACAAATCTTATACTTGGTCTCAGATTTGTTAGGCACAAACAATAAACAAAACACAATAATATTTATGTCTATCCATTACAACTTTTATTTACGTTGACTTTGTTCCCCTGAAATCGTTTTTCATACAATGTTAATGGCAAAATATGGCGTATTTTTGAAAACAAATTCATTTAATATATATAATCCACTTGAGCCAGTCGTGTACATATATATAATCCAATCCTCTTGTACCTCTGCGTGTACATTTTAGATTCATATGATGGCACATACAATCTTTACTCAGACGATTACTTCCTTAGCCGTTGGGACATTCGGTAGATTTCCAGCTTCAAAAGTTGATCATCACATTCGATTCAACTCCAGAATCAAACACAACCGCTTCTCAGTTCCAGAAAAGAACATAGCTTTGAGATTTCAAAACGATGACAGAAGAAAAATGTACGTAAAATCTTGGTTTTTTATTACATTTTCTTTTCTTCACTGGATTTTTTTTTTATTAATTACAATTTCTTTACACCTTCATGCAGGAGGAATATGGTTGTCTATTCTGGCATAACACCAGGAAACTCTAATGATCCTTCTCTTGGCTATTGGTAATTCATTTATTTACCAATCTCACATCATATGTATTATTATTCACTTGTTTCTTTTCCCTTTTAGTTTAATTTGAGTTGGCAATAGAAAAAAGTTTGAGAAATATTCTCTAGCAGGAAATTTTGGATCCTTGGCACAATATTCTCAATACTTGCATCCTTTTTGAGGGGGAAATGGGGACCTTTGTTGCAACTGAAAGGTAAGAGATCATCCGTGTTGAACATTACCAAAAAGGATTTTAATTATTGGGATAAGTTAGACCTTAAATGATTTTCATCTGATGATGTTTTTCTGTTCCTTGTACGTAGAGAAAGTTGAGACAACAACACATGAAGCACATCGAGTTGCAGACATTATAGAAGAAGTGGCTGAAGAGGTTGATAAGGTGGCAGAAGAGGCTGTTCAACATCTTCCAGAGGGAAAATTTCGTGACGCTGTAGAACTTGTTGAAAAAGTTGCTGAAGATGTCGAGAAGCGTGCTCAACGTGCTGAAGATGCATTAGAAAAGGTTTCAATCTCTATCTTGAAGTAATATTACAAATTGTTTATTAATTTCTCTTTAGATAACATAATTAGAATTATTAATAAAAGGTAATAAATAGTTCAGTTTCAACATAAGTAGATCTTGTTAAATTTTGTGAGTTGACTTAGTCTCATAATGACACTATTTCAAGTTGCCAATCGATAGAGTAACTTCCCTTCTTCATTAACTTAGACTTCAATATACAGAACGTTACTTGTTTTAATCTCCAACACGTAAAGTTGACAAACTCAATTTTGGTTTGCCTTGTTCAAGTCTATAATAACTTGCAAATTGCTATTATTACTTATTGCAGAATTTATTTATTGGTGCTAATCAAGTTTAGACTTAATACGATAATTGATGAGATTGGAATTTGGGTTAACGTGTAGGTTGAGAACATAGAAAAGGAGTTGGATTCCTTCATTACTGAATCAACCAAACATCACGAAAGTAGAGCAACGACGACTTCAGAAGCAAAAGAACAGAAATAGAGAAAAACACGGTTGCTGACAACATCTACTGAAAAATCAAACACCATGTTTTTACATCTTTTCTTTTTATTACAGCAACATCTTGCTTGTACAAATTTTATTCTTTAAGTTATTTTCTTCTATAACGCATAAGCTTATAACATTTTGTGCAATTTATTTTCATGTTGAAAGATGCATACCTATCAATAGTTATCTACACAAAAGAAAAAAACATCACCATCAATATGGAAATAGACAATAATCAAATTATGTAAAGTTATCTGTATCATAATATTAATAGGCTTTGGCTATTTGTCAATAATGATTTATTGTATTGTTGGACAGAGTTTTAAGTAATCTCATCAAATTAACAAATTTATTCTCAGTTTAGCTAGACTCGACACGTGTAATATTTAAACTATGGATTGAACCCACATGGGTACCAATTTACCTGTACGAAATAAAATTATACTATAACAATGTTTTTATTAAAGCCACGTTTTAAAACACGTTATATACGTCAAAGTTACCAACTAGGCAAATTTGCCTCACATATTATGAAAATAGGCAAAAAAATTTTGAAATACGAAAATTGGCAAGTCGTCGGAGACCCAGACGATTTCTAATGAAGAAAGTCGTGTTCCCCCTGCACGACTTCACCCTGTTCATGAAGTCGTACACCCCAAAAATGACTTTAAGGGTATGGTAATCGATTACCACGTATTGTAATCGATTACCATACCGTTTTTAATAAAAAAATATAAAAAACATTGAAATCGTAGGGTTCAGACTTCAATAAGAGAAGTCCGTGCACCCCCAACACAACTTTTACTTTTTTTTTTTTAAATTTTAATTTTTAATTTGTTATTAACTTAAAATCATTTTATAATTTCTAAAACAATATTTTTAATTGTATTTAAAATAATTAAAATTATATCTAATTAATAAATGAAAATTTTTCAATATTTTAAATAACTAAATTTCATACTTTTATATTTTTGTAATTTAAATTAAATTTTTATAAAGAATTTCAATTAAATAATTTTATAACTATAATTATTATAATATCTAATTAAAAATTTAAAAAAAAAAAAAAATTTTTTATATTTTTATTACAATTTCATTGTTTTAATCTATATTTATTATTTGTTTTTTTATTCACAATTGTACTATCTATACTACTATTTTTTCAATATAAATATTAATTAATCACATGATTACATATAACGTCTAATATTAATAAAAGACCTAAATAACTAAATGTGTGGAGGGGGTTAACGAACTTCTTGTATTGAAGTCGTGCTCCCCCATACACTTTCACTATTATTTTTTTATTTAAAATGATTTATAATTTTTAAATTATATATTTAAATGTATTTAAAATATTAAAAATTATATATAATTAATTTTAAAGTTTCAAATAATTAAATAAATAAACTTATTTTTTTGTTATTAAATTATCACATTTTTAAAATTATTATAATATTTATAACTATTATATTGTACTATTTAATTAAAATTCTGTTATAAAAAATTTTAATTTAATTACAAAAATAATTAAAAGTATAAAATATTTATTTAATTATTGAAAAACGTACTTATTATTGAAATATAAATTTTAATTATTTAAATATTTAAAAATATTTTTTAGAAATTATAAATGATTTTAATTAACAAAAGTTAAAAATTAAAAGAAAGTAAAGTTGTGTTGGGGGTGCACGACTTCTCTTATTGAAGTCGTGAACCCCCCTATGATTTCAATTTTTTTTATACTTTTTTATTAAAAACGGTATGGTAATCGATTACAACATGTAATAATCGATTACCATATCCTAAAGTCGTTTTTGGGATGTACGACTTCAATCTTAGTCAAATGAATAGGGTGAAGTCGTGCAGGGGGACACAACTTCTTCATTAGAAGTCGTTTGGGTCCCCCACGACTTGTCTTTCGAAATTTTTTTGTCTACTTTCGTAATATCTGAGGCAAATTTACCTAGTTTGTTAACTTGGCCGTATAATGACATATGTGTGAATGATTTAATATCAACTAATATGTGAAACCGACATTAAAAGTTAATAAAAGTATTTGTTAAAAAGATATTTCAAATTAGAGAAGTAGAGTGGGCCCATCTCCTTGTACTAGGTCAGATCTATAAAATATATAAAGAAACTACAATGTTTCTATAAAACGATTAAAAACTTTCATTTATTAAAAACTAAAGCTGTTATTGAAACTCATCTTATACCTATTTTTAGCATAGTTAATAGTACTCTAATCAATAGATAATAAAGTTAAATTATATAAAATTGAGAAGATAGAGATAACGAGAGAGATGATGGCGTGCGTGTAGTGAAACCCATGAGAAAAACCAGGTTATCTTACTCCAATAGATTTCACCTCGTGGAGCATATATAGAATGCCTTTTCTATTTTCATGAAAGGCTTAACAAACACTCACATCATTGGTTTATTCATGTAACATGGCGGTGTGAATAATATTACACAACTAATTAGAAGTGAAAGTTTGTAAAGTGGGTGGTGGGGGGGGGGGGGGGTTGGGGCGGGGGGGGGGGGTGGGGGGGAGGGAGGGGAGGATGGGGGGGGGAGGGGGGGGTGTGGGGCGGGGGGGAGGGTGGGGGGGTTTGGGGTGTGGGTGGGGTGGGGGGGGTTGAGGGGGGGGGGGTTGGGGGGGGGGGGGTAGTGGGGGGGGGGGGGGTGGGGGGGGTAGCTTAGAGGGGCCGGGGGGGGGGGGGGGGTGGGGGGGGGGGGGGGTGGGGGGGGGGGGGGGGGGGGTGGGTGGGGGGGTGGTGTGGGGGGGGGGGGGGGTGGGGGGGTGGGTGTGGGGGGTGGGGGGGGGGGGGGGGGGGGGTGGGGTGGGGGGGGGGGGGGGGTAACATTCTGGTGTACGTACGTTATCCATATGAACTTTTCCATCGCCTTATCCAGGTTGATCAATACTCTTATAAAGCTTCCATCATCCTCATTGAGAAATATAGTTATCTTCGGAATTGAATATATTGGATCGTTTAACAAGAGCCAAATACAACATTTGCTCAAAAGTGTACTTGCATGCACTAGTACAGCCAGGAGAAAAGACAGCGGTTGTTTTTCCTAATAGGCAGCGGTTCTTGAACCGAGGCATATTCAGGCGAGGCAAAAAGTGTAATACTTTTGGCCTCAGGTGTGAACCGATGCATAAAGGGAGAGGATTTGGCATCGGTTCAGGGGAACCGAGGCCGTAGTGTTTTTGGTTTTTTTATTTTTTTTTGTAGGACTATATGCCTCGGTTAAGAGGAACCGAGGCCGTATTTGCCACCCTACTGCCTCGGTTGTAGCTTGAACCGAGACAATAGATCTCTTTTTTTTCTCATCCGTAAGCCTTTCTGCTTCTGGTGTGGTTATAACCGAGACCAAAATGCTTTAAAGGTCGATCTTTATCGTCATTTTCAACCTTTTCATAGTATTTTGAGATTGTGAAAGGAATAATTAATGAGATAGAGAAAATATAGAAACAGTGAAATGTTAAAGTAGGAGTTGGAAATAATATATTTTTTAGTTATGTATATGTTGTTAGATGTTGTATTACATAAATCAAATGGTAGAATATATGATTTTAGACTCAAGTTATTCTAGAAAATGCTAGTCACAACTAATGTGAAATGTTCTAGATTTTTATCTATATAAAAATTCGTATGATTTCTTTTCTTATCTTATGTTTTTCTACAATATTCTAGAATTTGTAGTACATTGTTAATACTTTTAATCTTAGGATTTTCTATCTAGAGCTTGCATTACAGTTTAATACTCCTCTTTGATGCGAATTCGGTAACTCCAAGCATAACACGCAGTAGTTCAAATCTTGGTCTTGTTAACGCCTTCGTAAAAATATATGCAACAGTCGAATTTGTTTAGTTGTCTCTTCATCTCGAATGACAGTGATATTTATGGATATTGTTTTTGTTCTTTAATGATGGACTTGAATTATTTTCTATTACTATTGTTGATTGGTCATAATAGATAAATAGTCGATCCATCTGTGGTTTACCCATTCTTCAAGTATTCTTTCTAGCCATATTGCTTGACTCATGGTTTCAGAAACTGCTACATACTTTACTTATGTTGTTGATTGGGACATAGTTGCTTGCTTCTTTGATGCCTAAGATAAAATACATGATCCTAGTGAGCGTATCCTAACATGTTGTCCATTGATCCTTCCTAATCACTATTCTATATTGCCAATCATCCTTGAGTTAGTCATGGTTTTGTACCCATATACAAACTTCACTATGAAAAAAGCTTACAATTGTCACGCGGTCAACGTCCAACTGATGAGTCGTTTTTCTTGAATTATTTTAGTTTATTGCGCTAAATAGACTAGGGAATTGTGTTTAATTGGTTGTTATTTCCCGTTGTCTCCGAATTGTGCTGCTTAATTTGCGTCGGATTTGTAATTGGCGCAAATTTGGTTTTCTGAGCTGATTAAGTGCGAAGGAAAATTTTGGAAATACCATTTTGGGACAGTCAGGAAGAAATCCAAATAAATCCAAGACTCTCCACACAGACATTTTTAGAATTAATTAAATTGTAATTCAGGTTTAGAATTTCTGTATCAACTTTGTCCATTGTTGGGACAAATTTTTTGGTAAGTAGTAGACCCAAAATGTGAAGGAAAAAAAGGACTTTGGCCCTTAGGGTTTTTGTGTGGACCCCACCCTTAGTTAAAGGTGACCCACGACCCTTGGAAAGCAGCCGCCACTTTCCATGTTGCACTTTACTCACTCTCGGTCTCAGTTTTGGTTTTGGGGCTTTTGTTTGGCTGAAACGCGATTCTCAAATTCCGGATGGAATGAAAAATGGCTTAAGCACTTTTTGCATGAAAGACTATTTTTTTTCCAGCACACATTATTTTTTTTCATTTGAACACCTTGGTCACTAAGAATGGAGGGATATTAGAGAAAACAAAAAAGGCTTGCCTGGAAGGAAAAGTGAGAGCTGTGACCACCTTGCTGAAGGGAAAGTGGAAAGGTCAAAGTAGAGGGATGAATCAAGGATGGAGAGAAAGCCACGGTCACATCCAGTGCAACATGCCTTCTTCTGTTATTAGTTTAAGTATTGGATTTCATGTTATCCTATTATTTTGTTATTTATTTTTAGCATTACAATTTGCACTCACTTGAGCATTTAATTTTGATTCCAAAGCTGTCACGGTGATATTGTTTGGCAATGGTTCTTAATTTCTTTTTGATTACGCTTACCTTTAAGCACATGGCGTG